ATAAATTCACTGTAAACCACAGCTTCTTGGGGCTTATTGCTTTATTTCAATGGGCCGGTTCTTTTTAGTGAATCAAATAAATACAGTCTGAGGGCTCTTTTTAATAAATCAAAAACATCAAGCGCAACCAGTGAACACCAACTCCCGAACAAAATAAATTACTCTAATGGGCCAGTTCTGTTTAGTGAATCAAACACATGCAGCTTACAATCAATTAACTACTAACTAACTTACAACTAATTAAATCAGTGCAGTTGCTGAGTGTTCATATGACGATGTGTAGTTAAAAGATGCACATTATTCGTTTTGTCAGTACAGTATACTATAAAAATAAATACTGTACATGAATGACATATGTCTTGTTTATTGTTGTTTAATACTGTACATAGTAGTTACAGTAGTTATATAGGCATTTATGCTGCCTCTAAAAAGACTATTATTGAAGTTATCAGAAGTTCTGCTGAGATTTTAAGCTATTTAAGTGTGTGAGAACAGGGAATACTTGTGTATTCATACAGAGAACAAAGGTCACACTATCAAACTCAATTTTTAATGCATGTCACATATGCATGCTTCAAATTTAGCTATGGACTTACCATATCGCTACGCACACTTCTTCAGCCAGAGTACAGTAAGAGGTCAGACTGCAGTTGCTCATGCAGACGTTGTCTTCACATACAGGACTTGAGTGGTCACACCACTTACAGAGGTTGGTCTTTATGAGGGTGAAGCTCTGCGCCTGCAACACTGCAATAAGGACAGCTGACAAGATTTCATAGTTTACACAGTATAAAAATACTAGGCAGCATTTAGTAAATTTTTCTTATAGTGTACTGTAGGTAGCTGACAAATAATGATGATGATGATGATGACGATATATAACATGGTAAATATGTACAGAATATGTTTAAGTGTGTTTGTTTTTTTTCCACCACCTCTTAGCTATTTTACAATCAGCTGATGAATTTTAAAAATTATTTTTTGGTATGCAGAATGTTTTTTTGTTTTATAATATAAATATTATTCATTGCAGTCTCTCATTTAATAAACTTAATACAAAAATGAATAAAGGTAATGAAAAATGCATAATTGCAAGAAAGTTGTATGACCATAAATAAAATAATAATAATAATAATAATAAATTAGGCCTAAACTCAAAAGAAATGTGTAAACAAAAAGTGTATATGATGGCCCTGGGAAATGTATTGCCTAAAAACACAAATAACTAAGGAGTGCAGTAAAAGCAGTCAAAATGGTCCAATGATGAAACGGATTGCAATGCAGAGTTATAAGAATGAAAGCTGTAATGACAACTGCAATCAAGACAGTATTAAAGAGCAAATCTTTGAGCTACGTGACCCATCTGGAGTTCATAAATCTCTAATTGGATTTGGATGAATGTAGTATATGGCCTGGTGTGTGTGTGTATGTGTGTGCTGGGGTGTATTTGGTTTGGTGCACACATCACTGAAAGCATGTGTATCCATGAGAGTGTCAGGAGTTCCTGTGGTTAAGTGGGATAAGCCTGAATTCCTTCCCATGCACACTGTCTCCTCTGTCCTGATACTACCACATAATGACAATATTAATTGTTTATTAAAGGCAGATGAGGGGTGGGAGCCGTTTTGCTGAAGGAGAGCAGCGACCTTACAGTAAACAGTATTAAAGGAAAGAGCAGAGACACAGACTTCCAGATGTCTGCTGATGCCAACCATCAAAATATACAACAGAG